TGTTTTTATGACAATGTTTCGACCGTTATACTTTCCGGCCTTCTTCATGTATTGATGAAACGGGTAACCTTTAGGCAATTTCAAACTTAACCCTGACTTAATCTACAAGAGTAGATGTTTTTCTTTCGTTTTGCTGTCCATATATAGAGATATCTTGTTTTTATGTTGCCTGGACAAATATATACCTGTCGAAGTTCGGAGGGTCCAACAGCCGAAATGTTGTGTGTCAACGAAGATGAGGACATTAATCCAAAAATAAACTGTACATATTTTATTAATATTTACTAAGTGTAGATCTGTTTTAGCTACAAGAATTACGATATTACTTTGACACAAAAGTCAATATCGGTCATAGTTTTAATAATTTAATTTAATAGCATTACCATTTTCAATATTCACTGACATGCCGAATGTCATGAGGGTACAGGTAAGTGGCCTTGACACCATGGAAATGTGCAGATATTTACAAGTTGGGTTTTCATATATAGAAAATCAGTGTGAATACCGACTATGCTCTCTTGGCAAAATACTTGATTTATTGGTGGCCGAATGGGTATGATAGAGGGTACTAGACGAATTTCTTAAATTGTGTGGTCAAATTCCTCGATCTACGTTCTTGCATATATATCAGCAATACTTGATAGAAGGCATTAATATCCATCGTAGACATCTGTGTCTCCCTCTCTCCGATTGTCTGTTCATCTATCTCTCTATCATTCTCATTCTGTTATTCACACTCTCTCAGTTCAGTGGTCGAGAGGTCTTTAATCATCACCGTGACCAGAAGCATCTGGCGAGACTTGTCTGGGATAAGATAAACGACACTGGCTCAAATCGCATTCAAAGTCAACGCAAGAAGCACCTGGCACATGGCCAACATGTTAGTCCAGCGGTTTTTAGTTTCTACGGGATACGGAAGCAGAAGAGCTACGACAGTTTAATTGTATGGTCATATTCCTTGATCTTCTTTGTTGCATGTGTACCAGCAATACGTGATGGAAGGCATTAGCATTCATTGTAGACAGTTCAGTGGTCATAATGGAGCTAACCATAACATAATATATATTTTTCATGGTTTTAAATTGGAAGCTACTCCGAAAGTAGCTTAACATTTTTCAAGATGTTAATGTGGCTAAAGTGTTGACATTACATTGTAAGCTCGATCCAAGAAACTCCTTAAATTACAATTTTTCAACCCGAGAAGAACATTAAAGAACACATCAAGAAGGATTTTAAAATACTTTTAGCAAATAATTCTGATTGAATTTATTGCCTTACGTTTTTTTTATTTAGTGAAACCTTTTTGTTGACCATAATTATTGATTTTCCTATTTTAAAAAAAAATATTTGTCATCATATTCGCAGATTGATATTTAATTCCATTCAAGAAAAGAACGACAATAAGAAAGAACATATTTTTTATTTCACTTTTCAAATGAATGAAAATGAATCAATAAGATTTAATAGAAACGCAATCATGACAGTTCCTGTCAAGGTTGTATATAAAGTAGCAGCGAAACGACGTTATTTGTAAGATAATCATCAGAGAGTGATTTTCAATCAGCAAATTAATGACCATTCATTTTGTCAGTAAGATAATAGTTGACTCTAGATTTGAACAGATTATGATTGTAGTGATCGGGGAAACATTCTCTTGGGAGTCTGTTCCATAGGGCAGTGGTTTGAGGGAAGAAGCTGTTTGAGTGGAACTTAATTCTCGTTGATGGAATACGGAGAGAATGTGGGTGGTTTGCCAACGTGTAAGTGGTATGGTGGGCCCTAGCCATGAAGGTTAGACTTGGTGGAACCAGGAGATGGAATTCCTCCGAGCACTTTCCATAGTAGTAGCAATAGAGCAGCAAGAGACTCGCTACATCCCGTTTATGTGAGAGAACTTAGAGTGTAGAAAATAATTTTTCACCAAAAACGCCTCGGAGACGCGTTTGGCTGGAAAGGCAGGTCTGAGCAGCTCCCGCCCAAATATGGCAACAGTACTTCATTTTCATCCAAATCTGGCTCTTATAAAAATAGAAGATAGCACGAAGACTCAGGTACTTACTAAAGCGGTACAGAGAGCTGATCATGTTACCTACATCTTTAGCGATGGATTTCCATTTGAAGTCGGGTGTGAATTTGAGGCCTAATATCTTCTCAAGGCACGAGACCTCCTTTAGGAGACACCCGTTTATCGTGACTGGCGCTAGTTCGGGATCTGATCGGCGATAATTGTATGTTAACAGCTAGTTTTTCTCCACTGGGAAGTTAGTGTAAGATCAGAAGAAAGGTCAGCTATCAATCACTGACGGTCAAGCCTTTTAGAGGTGCGCCCATATGTCGTCGAATCATTGGTACACAAATTTACAAACGATCGGAGTATATTCTTAGATCATTTATGTACATCAGAAAGAGGGTTGGTCCAAGAGGTGACCCGTGGTTGACGCTTGCGTTGTATGCCAGGGCCTCGGAGAACTGGCCGCTAATAACTACCTTTTAGGATGGATTCTATAATAAACAAAACCATTCCAGTTATTCCGTAGCTGGAGAGCGTGTACAGCAGACCTTTGTGCCACACCTTGTCGAAGACCTTCAAGATATATAATATGGTTCTTGCGGTGTGTGTGTCGTCAAGTGCCTCACTAAGTCTGTGTGTAATGGTAGTTAAGACGTCAGCAGTGGATCGGGCTGATGGAAGCCTATACTGCTCGTCGCACAAGAGGTTGTTCCTATTCAGGTTCTCGACGACCATCTTGCTGATTAAGGCCTCAAAAATCTTACTGATGATACTGAGGAGACTAAGTGAGGGGAGATCAGTTACCCGTGTTCTTGAAAACTGGGCATATACTTGCCACCTTCCAAAGGCTTGGGAATTATTTATCCTTCAAGCAGCGGTTAAATAAATTTTCTAGGATCGGAGATAATTCTGGGTTGATATTCTATCTTAGACCACTAGGATTTTGTCTGGGTCAGTGGCTTTTTTGGGGATCGAGGCTTTTGTTAAATGATTATATTACTGAGATTGTGCCCAGTGAGACGTGGGAAGTTGTAGAGAGGGATGGCTTTGTCAACTAACACTGAGTTTGAGGCAAAGATCGAGGTGATGAGCTTCGCCTTGTCTGTCAAGTAGGATATGACCTCAGGGCAATTTATAACAGTGAGCATATTCGCTTTGCCTCTATTTATAATTTGGTTGATGATCTTCCAGAATTCGCTAGATGCATTTGTTTATTTTCAACCTTGGCCTGGACAGCTCGCGAGTAGCTGCACTTTGCGTTTTCCAGAACTTTCTTGCAGCTATTATCGGCAGTTCTGAAAGTACTAAGTGCTAGCCTATATATTTGTTCTGTGGCTATAAGACATTCAGGGGTAAACTAGAGGTTATGATCTTTTGCTGGAACCTTTTTGGTGGGTATAAAGCCCTCCATTCAGAAAGGATCTATTCGGAGATTAGGGGAGCAGTTTTGGGGGCAGCATGTTTGAAGAAGGTTGGGAGAGGAGCTTCCGTCATATAGGATCTTAAGCTATCCCAGTCTGCATTCGCTTGACAAAAAGACGTTCTATAGAGCGGTAAATCAGGAGATGTCATTGGTTTGGAGTCAATTTAGACAGTGACTAGTGAATGATCTGACGCGCCAATGGGTGTTAAAACCGTTTAATGCATTTTTCAGGTCAGGGTGTTATATGAAGTTGATGATGATCTGAGTTAGTTCATAGGCGATGGAGAATTCTCTACAATATCTGCCTTCCTTATCGGTCTGTTCGAGTAGACTAACCACTTCTTGTGGTGAACATTGACGTCACCGCATATGTGAAAGCTCACCGAAGGAAATTCGGTGAGGATATTGCCAATCCTCTCTGGTATTTGATCGACCATTACTGATTCTTTATCGTGAGGACGATACATAGCAAAGACTAATGTGGTACTATGGATAAGTGTCACGCGGAAGCCCATATACGAGAGATCAAGGTCCTTGTTTATTGTGTCCCTGCTACAGGGAAACCCGTCCTTGATGTAAGCACCGAGACCCTGACCGGGGCTATTTAGGTGATCGTATTTTGTTATAATAGGTGAGTAGCCCGGGATTGTGAGCTTCTGCAATGGGATTGAGACATTGATACGCAGTTTCAGACAGAAACAGAACTTTTTTTTCAACAATCTTAGTTCACTTTTAAATTTTTCCTTGTAGACACGTCCATTCCATTCCACATACGGTATTTCTAAACTTTTATCTTTCAGTTCCTACAGATGCATAAAAAGCGTTATTGGTCTACTGCCTTCCCGTAAAAAGATATTTTTTTGTTATAATATCTGTTTCGATAACCCTTCAGCTGCATTAATACAGGACATTTCGTATTCGCCTCCAACGTTCAAATTTGCTTAGTAAACTATCCTAGTACCAGGTTATAAGCGTGCTACTAGGCTGGTATCACGGTCCCATCCTTTCACTGCTGAAACACTGCTTACTCCAATAGCTTCATATCTCGCACCTCCCGTCTGTGGAATTCCCTTCCTATTACTTGTTTCCCTGATAGCTATAATCTCCAACTATTCAAATGTAATGTCAATCGACATCTCCAGATGACCTGATCTATTCCCTGTCCTTCTTTTCATCCTTTCCTCCATCACGCCTCTTTACTCTCGCCCCCCACCACTCTGTAACCCCTTGAGTGATAGTGGCAAGCCTTGCTTGGGGTGAAATGCTTAAAAAAAATGTTGATGTTATTTTTTTTTACTTGTTGGATTACGTTTCTCATGCAACAACAACAGCAGTAACAACAACAACAACAATAATAATTATGAGGATGATGATGATGATGATAATTATGATGATGATGATGATGATGGTGGTGACGCGAGTTGAGTTATAATCTTTAAATGTTTAAATGAAATTTGTAATAAAAGACTGTAAAAAGAAGTGAAAATAATTTTTGAAACATCAACTAATTTGTTCATATATTATTGCTTTTAATACATTGCATTTGAATATTTCTTTCTTTTGCAGCATTCCAATCCCCTGTACGTTGACCCACACTCAACATACCAAAATCCCTTGTACTCTGGCAAAGGAAAGTGAAAAGAAAGAAAACCAGCATAAAAAAAACAAAAAAAAACAAACAAAAAACAAAGAAGAACAAAGGAATTCTGCTGAATTTTATTTTTTCAAAGAAAAGCGACATATTTTTGAATGTATTTTATTTCGATTCTATTCTATGACATTGCTGCATTCTCAGGTAATCTTGAACAAATAATACAGGAAAAGACCGGGAACGGCCATGCTTTTCTCGGAAAACTTTGAAATTCATCCAAAATCAATGAATTGAACAGATGCATTAGGATAAGATTGAAAGAAAAACGAAAACATCAAAAATTTTGAACAAACCTCTGAGGACCTCCCTTACATATATATATATATATATATATATATATATATATATATATATATATATATATATATATAACATTACTTCATTATTTACTCATTAGCAACCTGTTTTATATATATATATATATATATATTGTGAGCATATACTTTGTGCAGATTAATATGTGTATATATATATATATGCATATATATATATATATATATATATATATATATATATATATATATATATATATATACATACACACACACACACACGCATATATATACGCATATATATAAACATTCATTTATACAATAATATTGGAAATGTACACAAGTAAAATTGCGTGTAGGTTTCTGGTGTTTTGCTTTATCTGCCAATATTTCTGGTGTCTGTGTGTGTGTGCGCGCGCGCGCCCGCATCAGTGTGTGTGTGTGTGTGTGTGTGTGTGTGTGTGTGTGTGTGTGTGTGTGTGTGTGTGCGTGCGCTGGCACAGTTCTTTGACGTATTTGAAACGCCGCCTTGTTTCTACCAGGGGATGCCTTTAAAGAGTCTTACATAACAGACTGGTCATCTTTCTTGAAACCAAGATATGACGGTTTCGTCAATTAGGTTGGGATCCTACTTTTAATTCTTCGAAAAGATTCTCATTAATGCTTGAAGAGGCTTAATAGAAAACAACCAGAATCAGGGCCACTTTTCTGCTACGGGTGTGGCTCAGACTCTCTACACAAGACATGCCACAAAATGGTTCAATATTCCCAGAGCCTGACACGAATATTCTTAAATGAATTTGGGTCTGAAATTTCTATTGCATAATGTTCGATGTGCGTTATTAATATTATTTAGTATGTGTATTGAGTAGAGCGGGAATTATCCAGAAAATTTGTTGTGTAATATAAATAATTTAAGTATACATACTTATTAATCAATCTCTCCTTCAGTCTCTCTCTCTCTCTCTCTCTCTATATATATATATATATATATATATATATATATATATATATATATATATATATAAAAATAATTAATCTCGTTTTTATCTACGTTTTCATTTTCAGTTGCTTATTAAAAATAAAGACTTCTTGATTCTGATTACGAAGTTGGAGTTGAAAAGTGTTCTATACGGGGCAATTCTCAAAATATGACGGCAACCTCAGAATTTGATTTTGACCTTTCACAACAACCTTGGATTCCATTATTACCTAAACATTAACAAACAGTGATCTATGCCTCGATTACTAAGATAGAGCAATTAAGCTTCCCAGCGACACAACCACTACTTAAGTTTCAGGCTACAGCAAACGTGAAATCATTAGATATTGAGTACACTTTCGTAAACACACACACACACATATATACATCCCCCCACATATATATATATATATATATATATATATATAATATTCACTAAAATTGGACATAGAAATTAGACACTGATGCCAAGCGCAATATCAATTGCTTGATCGCTCTACTTTGTGTAAATATGTGAAAAATGAGAAAAAAAACTCATCAACTAACTTGCTAGATTATGAATGTTTTTTTTTTAAATAATCATCATAGCTTATTTAAAAGCTGTATTCGAAATGGTAGCTTTCATTAAAGATTTTGGACAATTAACATGTGCTGATAATTAATGGAACGTGAAATAGGCTATTGATAGAACAGAAATATAAAGGGAAATAACTAAAAAATCGCTCCAGCCATTTTGTTTTAACATTTTAGCTTTAGTTTCCTTCCAATAAAAGATAATTGTCTAATAAGTTTTGTTGTCTGCTATCAGATTTCAGTTTGCTTTTATTTCTCGCTCTTTCAAAATAGTTACTGAACAGGATGAATGCTGGTTATCTTCGATGATGTAGCGGGAATCATCCCATTTAGCGTGAATGGTAAATTTTGTGACTGTTTCCAAATGTATTTCGTTGTATTTAATATAGAAGAATATGTAGAGCTTGAATCTCGCAAGACGTTGGTCGTGAGTTTGTACCTTAATTTCATTTATGTAACATTTTATCAAATTTAATTTAATGCAAAAAAGAATCTGTTCTGTCCAGTCGAAATAAAAGATCGAGATTAGAAGAGAAGAAATTAGTTTAGTTTAATAGTTAGTAAAAAATATACAGATTATTTTACCACTAGTGAATTTCTATCATGTTAATTACTTCTGCGATTTATTGCTTCTATTCAAACCGTCAATTTATTGCTGTTAGGCAATTACACAAATTGAAAAAAATGCTCTGTAGCAAAATTCGAAAACTCATGCATCGTTTACATCGAGAAGATTGTTCAGATGTAAGTTGCTCTACTCTGTCGGCCATGAAGGCCAATGCTAACAGAAAAAAAACACTCTTAGCATAACCTCATTTCATATTGCCTCGACCGCCAGGCACTGTCATCTTCGATGTTTTGTTTCCATCCATTGGTAATATTGGTACTACTATTATTTGAAGAGCTTTTATTTTAGTTCTTTTAGAAGAAACTTTTTCAGTTCTCGATTTTCTAACTTTTTTATTTTAGTCAAGTATCCTTGATCAAGTTTCTTTTAACATTTAAAAAAAGAATGCTACCGTAAAACGTCAAAAGTAAATAGTTCTTTGAAAAATATCTTTTTAACAATAGCGATTTGATATGAATAAAAAAAAAACACACCAAAAAAACACTTGAATGAACCACTTGTTAATAGATGTCACTGTAGTCGGAAAAATAATTTTTGCTTTTTACATACATATATATCTGTGTGTGTGTTCGCGCGTGTTTGTGTGTGTGTGCGTGCGTGAATAACATAATTATGAGCCGTCAGGAATTTCTCATCTTCTTCTATTCTTCCTGTTCTTCAAACAATTTCCTTAATTATCAAAGAATAGACTATAAATTTTCTTAACTGGATACATACAAATTAGAAGGAAAGAACCAGTTTATTTTTGAAGGCACAAAACTGTTACGTGACTGTAAACAACGGGAAATTGACTATTGAAATTTTATCATCTTATTGAATTTACACTTAAGTCGAGAAAAAAAAAACATATTGGAAGCGTTATTTTTTCAATAGAAATCGATTATGTTCAACTCGCAGCCACGTATAGATACATAGCTATATATATATATATATATATATATATATATATATATATATATATATATATATATATGCTGTTTTGGACTATCCTGTCGTTTATCGTTTATCGACGTGTGAGGTTCCTAGGAACGGAGAGTCAGACATCTGCACATATGGTTTGATTAATGTCGTGAAGCTTTTATGCAAAACCAAGCTGACTGATAAGATATTTAATATTTGAACAATTTCTACATAATTTATGTTCAGAAATGAAGAAAATTATATGAATACAAAAAGAAATTGAATAAAAAACTTAAGCGCAGTCGCTTGTCAGTCATTTTTATTGAAAATTATATATATATATATATATATATATATATATATATATATATGATTTAAAATTGGAGTATATCATCCCGATAGAGTTTTAAATCATTGACAATTGGAAAACGTACATAAAAGGATGTTGTTTTGAAAATATATCCGAGTAATCGGCGAAATGCATAATCGGATACAATTTCGAAAGAACATACTTTCATGAACATTTTTCAATTGTCAAAGTATATATATATATATATATATATATATATATATATATAATTTGAGTGCATATGGCAGAAGAGGGAGTGGGAGAGATGAGCAAAAGACAAACCTTATTAAGAACTACAAAGAATAGGAAGTTGTGGAGAGCTATCACCACCCAGGTTCTGAAGGGGTACGGCACATAGAAAAAGAAGAAGCAATTAAGACTTTCTTCTTTCAATAAAACTTTCTGTTGAGAAATGATGGTAATAAAAATTTTACTTTTTTCATCCAAGGTAAAAATACCACGAAATTTAATACAAGACAAATAAAACACAATCTTTTATCAATTATTTTTTAAAATTGTTTAGTAATATTCGGATGTTATTGTAAAAGATTCATGTCTACTTGGAATGACTTTGATTAGTGCCTTGTTTTACATATCTCATTATTAACCAATTTAATGATATTCTGCGAACAGATAGTAGAATAGTGAAAAAAATGTAAAATGACAGGAAGTAGTGAAGAATTATAATCGCCTACGTCCCGAAAGAAAAACGAAGAATCATAATCGCCCACGTCCTAAAAGAAAAACGAAGAGAGGTCGTGAAATCAGGTTGCATGATATTTTTTAAAAATATTTTAAAATTATTATTGAAGCGAGTTGATTAGAACCATTTTTAAAAATTTTAAACGTGTGTTATGTATTCCATGATAGTTCGACAGTTAATAATATCCAAATGTCCTCATGATATTTATCTTATTAAATGAAGCATTGGTAGCCATTATTAACTTTTTACAAGTATTTTTCTTTCATCTTCAACCAAGATAATCCTACTCATAACTGTTTAGAGATCTTGTCTATGGACGTCGGTAAACAGCAACGAGTGTATTTAATGAGTGAAGATTTGGCAATCCTTGAACATACATCGTTTTA